GTGTGTTTGAAGCAGTACGTACTGCTTGGCAATAAAGGTGCATTACTTCACAAGTGAATTACTGAACACTGGAAGTCTGTAGAAAAGCTTGATGTCTTGTCTCCATATAATGCCTTTGTAAGGACACCAGAATGTGCAGACACATTTAAGCAAAGCACAGGAGTCTGACAGGGAAAGAAATAGCCTTAGTGATAACACAAGACTAGGAAATAGCTAAACACAAATGGCACACTGGAGCATTAAACGGTGGGAAATTAAACTGTTAGAAATTACAGCAGGAAGGGATAAATCAGACGAAAGCATATCTTGTGGTGCCACAATAAACCTGGCAGAGGCTTGATAAGGGAATCTTCTCAATATAACTATTGAATTATGGAACGGTCCCTTGGAAAAAAAAGACAGGAGGCCCAGCAAAACATTACGCACACTCCCACATCAAAGCAAATAAAACCACCCACTGGATTAGCCAGCAAGTCCTTTCCATTCTCAAGTTCTCTGAATTCTCAAAGCCTGACTCAAAGCTTCCACTGACATTCATGTTACTCATTCCCCTCCAGATCAATAGAATATGTGCCAGACAGAGCTGCAGCTCAGCACATCTGTGTCAAGTAAGCTAGAGAGCTCCACACACTTGTCAGGGAAGTGTTTCTAGAATTTCAGTGCCAGGATGACGGTTTAATCAAGCGCTAGCCCTACACTTAAGCTTATATATACACCATACTCTTTAAAGTCAATTTTCTCTGCATTTAACAATCAATGTGTTTTCAGAGCACCTGCTCTTTTGACAAGTGCTGGACCTGCAAGAGTACAACTCTCAAGATCAGTGAGCGCTGAAAGGTTTGAAGACTCTGAAATTAAGCACTTCTGTGATTATCACAAAAAAAGTCTAAGTAAATGCAGAACCAATTCATTTATTTATCAATATCACCAACTACTCAGAAGTCTATTTGCAAGAGAAACTATTCCAAATTTCTCCTTTCTTCCTTCTCTGGTAGTAGATAAACACACACATAAGTACCAAGTCTTACACTTGCAGAAAGGAAAATGCTGCCAGCATATTTTCAATTCAGTTATCCTGATGTTTCCAACAATCAGCCACTGCCTATAGTAGAGCTCAGTGGATTTACTGCTCACTCAAATATGTTTAGAGAATTGTGTAAGACACTGACTTGAAACTGTCAGTATTAAGGGGATTTCAGTTCCTACATTACTGTTTGAGCAATACAGTTACACACATGTCCAAAGTTTTATCTAGTGACTCTTCCTTTTTATTGACCTGGACACACTTAGCAAATCAGTGATATTCTGCCACAAATGAGAAGATGGATCTACTTGCTTGACTAGCCATAGCTAGGTTCCAAATATTTTTCAGGGTGTGCTGAACACAAGTTACAGATCTTGATTTTGAATGAACATACGCATGATAAGCTACTGGAACAGGAGACAGACTGCAAGCACAGCTTTTTCTGAAAACTATTACAGCATAAAGAGTTTCATTTTTAATTATGCAAATAAATGCTATCCATCACCACTGAGAAGGGCCAACTCACATTAGGACAAAGGAGATGCAAGATCAGAAATCTGATCCAGGTTGCAGAACTGCATCTCAATTGGTTATATACAGCATGCTCACCTTCCAGAATTTGATTCTTCCTGCTGCCAGTTATTTATCCTATTGCAAAGGCAGCTCTTTT